AAGAGTCTAAAGAGACTAAAGAGTCTAACCACGTCCAAAGAGATAAGTATCATGGCCACAGTCATGGTAAATGGAATGAACGTGGTAGAAGTGGAAAATATAATTTATATGATCAAGGAAACCATTCATATGGTTAAGGCCACCGACCCGACTTTGGTCGTAATCGAGGTAGGCCACGGTATACCCAAACCACAACACTCAAATAAACTTGTTTGCCACTGATGAGTAATGGGGAAACCATTGGACTAAGACGTGCAGGACACCTAAGCATCTCGTTGATCTCTATCAAGAGAGTTTGAAAAGAATCAAGAAGCTCATTTAGTTCATCACGATGGTGAAGAAGATTTCGACCATGAGATAGATGATTATGAGAATTCAATAAACGAAATATCTAAAGACATGGTTCATTAGCCAAATTGCGGGTATAGCTAAATTTAGTGAAGGCTAAGGGCAGGCCCCTGGCAGGCCCATATTCCCAAGGGCACGCATCCTCAGATGCTTCATATTCACCTAGCTCAAGGGGGCTTGTTGAGTTTCAAAGAAATGTGTTTGAATGGTTTTCACATTGAAACTAAGGGTGAAGGGAACAAAGGATTCCCATATATTACTAAGAGCACCCAAGACCATGAGAAGGTCTTAGAGACTAAACCCGCGTCATAGATCTTTACTATGCCAAGGTCAATATGATAAAGGCTAATAAAGTAAACAAATAAGGGTTTACTGAGAAATTCACTAATGGCATGACCGGCTTGGCCAGCCCGGTTCGAATATGATGCGTAAATTAATTCAAAGTTCTAAAGGGCACACCCTTAAAGAAAACCGAGTTTTCCCTAAGCACCACACGTGCATAGCCTGTTCACAAGGGAAGCTTATCACTCGACCTTCACCAGTCAAAGTGTCTAAAGAGACCTTACATTTTCTAGAACGACTTCAAGGAGACATATGTGGTCCGATCCATCCACCTTGTGGAACATTTCGGTACTTCATGGTTTTAATCGATGCATCGACCCGCTGGTCGCATGTTTGCCTATTGTCTTCTAGGAACCAAGCGTTTGTTAGGTTATTGGCCCAAATGATCAGATTGCGAGCCCATTTTCCAGATTTTCCTCTTAAGACCATACGTTTAGATAATGCTGGTGAATTCACTTCCCAAGCATTTAATGACTATTGTATGGCCATGGGGGTAAGTGTGGAACATCCTGTGGCACATGTCCATACACAGAACGGATTAGCTGAATCCCTCATTAAACGAAATCAACTAATTGCTCGACCATTACTCATGAGGTCGCAGCTTCCGGTCTCAGCTTGGGGACATGCAGTTTTACACGCTGTTGAATTAATACGCATTCGGCCATTTAGTGAACATAGATATTCCCCATCCCAATTGCTAACGGGTCATGAGCCAGACGTTTCCCATCTAAAGACATTTGGGTGTGTCACCTATTTACCCATAGCACCACCACAGAGAGCAAATGATGGGACCTCAAAAGAGGATGGGAATATACGTTAAAAATGATTCTCCCACCATTATTAAGTATCTCGAGCCAAAGGCCACATACAAGGATTGTCATCTCAATGAATCCGTTTTCCCAACACTGGGTGGAGAGACTAACAAGCTGGTCAAAGAACTTACATGGAATCAAACATCCTTCACATGGCAAGATCCTCGGACTCCATCAGAGATCCAAAAGACTATATATCTGCAAAAGCTAGCTAAAACAGTTGCCAAGATTCCTATAATGACCCAAAGAGAGTAACAAAATCGTACATACCAGCTTGTAATGCACCAGTACGTATTGATGTTCACAAGGAACACAATCAAGTTGCTACAACACGTAAGAAACGTGGTAGACCTAAAAGGTTCCAAAGACAAGAACCCTCGGAAATCAAAGAAAGGTGCAAGGGAAACCGAGAAGGTTCAAGAAACCATAGACATGGCCAGCTAATAGACATAACCCTAAGGTACCAATCAATGAGGTTTGGGACGCCAAACCTCAAGGTCCTGAAGGTGTAAAGAGATCTCTATAAACTATATCATGTCTAGAATACAATGGAACCGAAAAGATGTCGACATCAATGATAATATATTTGCGCACAAGGTAGCAACTGAAATGAATGAGGATCAGGAGCCCACGTCTATACTATAGTGCACTCAAAGACCTGATTGATTAAAATGGTACAAGACCATAAAACGTGGAGATAAGAATCATTAAGAAGAAGAATGTGTTTGGTCCAATACAAAGGACACCATTCAATGTAAAGCCAGTGGGACAAATGAGTCTTTGTGATTGTGTGAAATAAACATAGTGAAAGCGTAATATATCAGACACGGCTTGTCGCACAAGGATTCACACAAAGACCAGAAATAGAGGAGATATTCTCCCCTGTGGTGGATGCTAAGACATTTAAATCTCTGCTAAGTCTGGCTATATAAAAGAGAAAGATTTGCGGCTAATGGATGTAATGCCTGCATATTTATATAAGTCCACTGGATAATATATGAGATTACCAGAGGGTATTGAGCTCAAAGATAAGAAAGATTTTCGAGAACAGCACTGCATAAGGCTGGACAAATCCTTATATAGACTGAAACAAAGCGGACGTATGTGGTATAACCGGTTAAGCGAATATCTCATCAGAGAAGGCTATAAAAACGATCCGATCATTCCATGTATTTTTATCAAGAAGTTTGCAAACAAAGGATTTGTAATCATAGCAGTGTATATGAATGATTTAAACATCTGGATAATCGCCCAAACAGTTGAGTATATCTAAAGAAAGAATCTCAAATGAAAGACCTAGGCAATAATTAAGTTCTGTTTGGGATTACAACCTGAGTACGTGAATAATGGAATCCTTGTGCATCAAATGGCATACACTGAAAGAGTACTCAAGGAAATTTAATAAGGACCAGGCCCGCCTATTGACCAGGCCCAATGGTGGTGAGAAGCCTCAGATTGGATAGTGATCCACTCAGTCCGGAAATGCCATACTTCAGTGCCATAGGAGTTCTAATGAATTTTGCTAGACACACTAGACCAAACATTTGTTTTGCCGTGAGTCTCCTGTCTAAATTTAGTTCATGATCAACCCAAAGGCACTGGAAAGGTTTAAAGGAAGGTTTGGTTAAATTTTAAAGTTTATTCTTCCTGCGTTGTTTACTTGGGTTTATTCTATACTGATCTAACCAAAGAAGATCCAGTTTGCTTTGGTTTAGTTTGATTTGCTGATGCAGGTTATTCATAAGATCAGATTATGGCATGGTCAATGAATAGGAACTACGTGTGGCTTGATCCCTTCCAAGGGTACGTAGGCAGCCTTCCTTAAGGCGCAGCTACTACTACTACTACTAATACTACTACTACTACTACTACTACTACTACTACTACTACTACTACTACTACATCAAATACCATCATATTTGAAGACAACGCAGCCTGTATTGCTCAACTAAAGGATGGCTATATCAAAGGGGATCGAACGAAGCATATTCTGCCTAAGTTCATCTTCACTCATGAATTACAGAAGGACGGTCAGGTCAAAGTTCAACAGATCCAGTCAAGTGAGAATTCAGCCGACCTATTCACCAAATCATTGCCGACTTCAACATTCCGGAAGCTCATTCATCAGATCGGGATGCGCGGACTTAAGGATCTACAGTGATACTCAAATCAGGGGGAGTAATGCGTGTTGTACTCTTTTTCCTTCACCATGGTTTTGTCCCACTGGGTTTTCCTGGTAAAGTTTTAATGAGGCAACATTCCCCAGCGCATTATAAAGATCCCGGTTTAGTATCGGGCACGGTTATGTCTTCCAAGGGGGAGTGTTATAAACCATATGGATGGACTCCATAACCGGCCCATGACCCATTAGGGTTTTACCTTATTCTCTGTATCCTGCTATTATCCTTGTATATATATCCCTTATACTATTAATGAAAGACACAGTTCACAACAAAATCAAATTAAATATAATAGTCTAGTCGTCATATCGTCTTTTTGTTCCAAACCATGATTTGATTTTTGCTGGGCATATCTCCTTCCCGGATAAATTAAAATGAACATTGAAATTGTAAATTCCAAAAAACAGTCTAAATCATGTTTTGGATTTCTGCAATTATAGGAACAATGGATATTTATCAACCAGGTCGGCAAAACCAACCGATGAAGTGTATGATTGGTGCAGATAATCAAGAAGTGGCGTTTCTTACAGACTGTTCTGATATGGTGAAGATGGTGTCTTCTTCAACCGAATGGCCGGCGTTTTCAGTGTACTTGGAAGAATTCCAGAGTGACAAGGAAGAATTCTCATCCTTTTCTTTATCTTTAATTTCTCGAAATGCTAATGTAAAAGCGGATAATCTGGTACGAAAAATTCGTACAGAACCACTTCATATCATATCATATATGTAAACAACATTCCTCAGAAATAGCTCTTTTGAACTATAACTAATTTCGGATGACAAAAAAAAAAAAAAAAACGGCAGAACCATATACTTGAGAAAAACAGTTACAAGTTCTAGAAGCTTGTGAATTTTTGCTATATTAATATATTATAGTAGGTAGGATTGTATGTATATTCTGGGCAGGACACATAATATTAGTTTTAAAATATTTAGGAAGCTTTTTTTTTTCTTTCTTTTTTTTCAATATAATATATTTGATTTACCAAAAAAAAAATGTAGAAAGTTAATTCTAGAGGCGATCGATGCATGTAACAAGGAATCTTGGAATATATATATAAGCAGGAAAGATCGAGAATGGCATGAACTACATAAAAATCACATGATTCTACTTTTTGTGGTAATAGTAAAGATTCTTCAACAATCGACAAATACTTATTGTACTCTGTAATCTGTACGATCTTTTTTTAATTTCAATGGCCATTGATAAATAATCAGTACTTATTAAGAACTACAGGAATCACGCGACGTCGTTTTAGGCCACTCTTGTTTTTTTAGGCCACTCTTGTTTTTTTTAGGCCACTCTTCTTGACATGGATATTATTTATTCATGGTGGATAGAAACAAAACATTTTCTTGGAATTTTTTACAAAACTACTATAGCAACACATGAATTAACAAAATAAATTCTTAGATATAATCCTTCCACAAATATTTTTTTGCTAACTGATCAAGCAACATTTACATAGTTTTTATGGGAACCGTTAATAATAAGATTATTTGATAGGTTTGATCAAAATAAGAGAATAATTGAATTTGCCATCCTCTCTTGACCGTCTTTCAAACCTTTGTAGTTTGTACCATTTGACTTTGACTCTCTCTTTCTGAAATCTCTCATTCTCTCTCCTTTGGCTGCTTCTTCTCTCTACTTTTCTCAACTTTAATATTTTTCTTCAGTTTTTGAAATAAGAAAATAAAAATATGGAACGAATAATTTTCCCTAGCTCCCTCCATCTCTCTCTCTCTCTGGTTATCACAGAAGCTAAGCAATGAAGCTCTAAGTATCTCCTCTTCTTCTTCTTCATCTTCATCTTCAGTTCTCATAATCTTATATTGTGTTGGGAGAAAGTCACACGTGTGATCTTCCTACATGGATGCATTCTTCTTAACGGATGATCCCAATACCCGGAAACAGTTAATCGAGTCGCTAGCTCAATCTTTTGGATGTGTTTACGTTTGTCTTTGGTCTTATTATTTCCCTCGACCTTCTAAGTAATAATCATATATTCCTCGTTCTCGATCTTTACATTTATATACATTACACAGCAACACATATGTATATGTAACATGTTCACTCTTTGTAACGTAAATGTTTTTTTTATTAATCTCATGATGCATTTGATTTTGAGCTGCAGCTATTTGATATCAATGGATGGATATTACAATGAAGCTTCTGAAGAACCTTCTTCTTCTTCTTCTTCCGGAAGTTTAGCTAGAAGCTTATTCCATGAGTATCGCCAATCCGTTATCCCACTCCAAAATGGGTAAGATTGTTCATCAATTCAAGTCACACATGCAATGTTTATGTCCTTGAATATATATGTGTTTAGTACTAATCAAGTATATAATCAAAAATCTTAATTTCAGGCATGTACCAAGCATGGCGTTCATGAACAATCTTCCATACGTAGAGATTCGACCACAAGAGATTCAAAGACTTGCTTTTAACGACGCACAACGTCTATTCTATCAGGTCATTATATTATTACAATCACCACCACAACACCGTTTTTATTTCATATTTATCTGTTATAATTTCTATTATTATGATATTCACTAACAATCAATTCTTCACCTCTTTTCATTATTGGTCGCAGCAAGCCAGGATTCAGGTACAATATTTCATTTTCATTAATATTTCAACAAAACGTAATTAATACATGTAAATTTAATGTTATAAATGTGTTATGGATCAGACAGTGATATTCATGGGTTGCCGGAGCGGCGAGATCGAACTCGGAATGACATATGATGCTACAAATGTATGAATCTTTTTTTTTTTTTAATTTTATAAAACCATAGGCATTTATTAATCTACTTAAAGATTTTTAAATCTCTACATAATATAATCTCTATATGTCATTGACTCAAGGACAGATGAAAATAGAAGCAAGTCTTCGAGAATGGTTCCCTGAAGATTTCAATAGAAAGTCTTCTCCGGTAAACTCCGACTATCTCCGGCCACCGCATC